ACCCTTGCAGATAGGAGATAGTCCGTCGGCAGTTTTCCTCTATTTGTGCGTCAACTTTCACAAATGTGTTAGCGTTGCATTTTAAGGTTAAATTAGACCAGCTATTTGTGCAGCGAGTTCTACGGTCACGATTGACTTCAAACTTGCAGATAGAAAACTAGAGAGCTTTGAGGCTTATTTGCTGAAGGTAGAGAAAAATCTCTCTTAGGGTCTCGAAATTATTGACACTTTTTTTGTAAAAATGCTGTTTTAAACATATGCCGATGTCTCAAACGTTTTTGTACCTACAAAAAAAAAAATAAATAACAGTTTCTTAAAGTTCGATCATTCTTTACTAAGGATGCCGAAGATCATAGAAATCGGTTAAATCTTTCCTGCCGAAAAACGCGATTTAAAAACATAACCATCGCGCATGTAAATAGGTTCGGGCCTCCTTAAAAGCCGCATCTTTAAATTCTATTTTGTCAACTTGCACCACTTTAATTATGGATCTTTAACCCTTTTATTCCAAGGAGAGCTACATAGTGGACTGTTATAAGGTGGCTCTGAGCATTCTTAACCTGGTGGCTACCATTCAAATTAATTTTCTTTTCTCGGTAATATTTTCACATGGTACAATTTCTTTTCTCCGTTTTATCTGAATGATGATCGGAAGTTTTGTCAATGTGACTTTGGCTACTTCTGTCATGTCAACTCGAAATTAGGTGAAATTGTTTGATATTACTATGTACGTTGAACAGACGTTCGAAGAAGCTGCATGGGTAAGTAGCCGCGACGAATAATAGGCTACTGCGAAATAATCATGATAATGTAAGTGTCGATCACAAAGGATCGATTTGTCGAGGCGGCGGTGGGCTGATTGAATGAGAAAGTTTACATGATAACTTAACACCAGGCTTAGATCAGCAACACTGATATTTTGAAACACGGTTTTAACTGCCACCAAAACGTTTTTATAAGACATGACTTGTTCCCCTGCTCTTCATACATTCATGATAAATTTGTAAGCCCCGTTAGCCAGGCAAGATAAAATTATGCACTGAATTAATCATGCTTTATAAATGTATGGTTAGATAGTTATTATTAACAGTTTGTTCCCCTGCTGAAGAACGAGATAGACTGCGGCGAAATAATCATTGTATATGTCGATCAGTAAAGGTTAGTTTGTCGAGGGCTAATTGAAAGAGGAAGTTTAAGTTAACAGCAACCTCAAACGTCAACAATATTTTAAAAACTGATTTTAATTACTGCAACAGTTAAGCGTTGTTTAAACTTTGAGGTAAATGGGGGACAAATAGAAAGAGCGGATATTAACTGAGAACACAGAAGATCAACTTGGACCATGGCTTACGACACAGGCTGTGGACCGCTAGATCTTTTCATAAGTGGGTTGTTTTAGGCAGGTAAAGATATAGTGTTTGTAGTCCTCACTATGTATGTTAACATTCTAAGACTGGTTAGCCTGCGGACACAGACGTATTTTCGGTCGTCGAAAAGTTAGGCTCTCTTCAAACAGTGTAGACTGCGAGCAGTCTCCCTTTTTCTTCAGATTTAGTGAGAGCAATGCACGCGCGCGGGAGCAGCGAAGCCGCGAGACGCGCGAAACGAGGGCGCAGCCCGAGAAGAAAAAAGAGAGACTGCCCGCTTAGCCACAATGAATCAAGCGTTGGCCTCACAACGCAAAAAACGATTGGCTGATTTGTGAAGCGTTGACAACAAACTGTAAACAATCGAAACCATTGACAAGTTGATGATGGCTGCAGCACTGCAGGAACTTTTTTCGTGCCTCTCCCGTCTCAGTCTCAGTCACGCGCGTGGCCATTTGCGTGTCTCGCGTTTTGCTCGACGGACTACAGAAAAAAGAGAGACTGCTCGTAGTCTACAAACAGTGTAGGTTATTCAACTAAAATTTTAGCACCGTTAAATAGGTGAATCCTTTCTGACGTCATTATTCATAGAAGACGTCGCCTTTTACACAAGTTTCAGCTCTTTGCAATCAACAACAATGGAACTAGCAGCAATCAAATACCGCGTGATCGCTGGGTGGCAAAAACTAACGACACTGAATTCTCGACTTAGCGATTCGTATAACCGAGCGCCGACTTTTTGAAGTACATTTTTATTAGTTAAATATTAATAAGACGCAACGAGCGAGGTTGAATATAAAAATTTTTCGTTCACAACTTCCTGTCAACCAATTCATCCTATTCTAACCTCAGGCGCTGTTTTTTATTTTTTTTTCAAAGGTGAAAGGAAAACCTTTACTTCAGCTTTTGTGACGACATCAAACAGCTTATCTAGGGTTGAGGTGAGCGCTCTTTCAATGTATCTCCATTCCAGATATCTTTAAGTAATTTTCCAACTAAGCAACCTTACTCGAATCCTTTTTATAGGTAGCCGAGCAACTGAAAGAAGACTGGAATTAAAAGGTGGAAAGCGGACAATCCACGATGTTTTCCTCACCCGAGTGCATCACCTGGTTTGCTGCGTTCCTTACAATGTCCGTTGCTATAGTAACAGTGAACCTTCTATCAATCATCGTTTTTATAAAGAACAGAACTCTTCGCTCTCGTAGTGTGTACTTGGTTATAAACTTGACTGTAGCTGACATGTTGGTTGGAGGAATTTCCAGTTCTAATATTCTCTTTCCAGAAATAGGATGCAAAATTTTAAATGTAAGGTTAACTCGGGAAGGAAGGGAAATAGTGTGGTTTCTTTTCTACTGGTTTCTTCTTACCTCTCTTACAAACATAACTGTAATTTCGTTAGATCGGATGCATGCGACATTTCGTCCATTCAGGCATCGAGTTATCAAAAAATGGGTCTACGGGGTAACAATTTCTGTTGTCTGGGTTTTAGCTGCAATGATATCAACTGCCATTACGATGCTTAATTTCTTCGGCAAAGAATGGTCACACCATCAGTTTTTATGGCAATCATATTGCTTATTATGTCTTTTTGTTATCTGTGCTTGTTACGCCTCAATTATCGTCAAAATTTGTTGTCGGGCGCGTCGTCAGCACCAAGGTGCAGCCCGTAGGCAAAGAAAACTGACTGTCACGTTACTCATCATGACTATCGTATCATTACTGTTGTGGCTGCCATATGCTGTAGCTACCTTTGTTTATTATACAACTGATAGCATTCGATCACTTTTTTTCACAAAGAGAATACGGCTGAATTCTTCTTTATTGCTTTTATTTTATACAAACTCGTTTGTTAATCCCGTGGTTTACACAATAAGAATGCCCGAGTACAGGAAAGCTCTCCTGTTATAATTTACACGTCGACAAAGGCAAAATGCTGCTGCTATTCCTCTTCATGCTCGTTAAGGTACTTTGGGTAAAAATTTCGTTTGCGAGTGATTAAACTTCAGCTATACACGAATAATGATTTGCGTCCTGTTGGTACTGAAAAAAGTAATTTCAAGCGAAGCTTATTACTAAGTTTTGGTTTGATAAAAATACTATAAATATATAGATAAATAAGATACTATGATTTTATTTTCTATTTTCAAAATCCCCAAAACACTCTGTTTGCCTCTTGTTTGCACAAACTATTGGTTTCACATGAATTTGGGAAGACTGTATATTCCCAAGAGCATTTAAAAACAATGACTTATGCAAAACTTGAGGGAGGGGGAGGGGGGAACAGAGTGTATTATGGGCGATTCGAAAATAGTGAATGCCTATTTTCGAGTATAGCTTTTCAAAGTCGTCAGTGATAAGGTAACTGAGATGATTCGAAATATGTGTCAGAACTTTATAGTGTAAACATAGTAAGTAAGTAAGTACTGTTATTTTTCGACTCAGTTAGGCACGAGCTACTATCTAATAAACTAAACTTGCTGCCACTGAATGCCTATATCATCAACTGGTATCACAGTTTCTTAATAATGGATAACAACGTACAGCCCACCACAACCACTTTCAAGAGTGGAAAGGAGTAAATAAGGGGACAACGCACTGAACGCAAGGCAGAGTGAGCGGCACTTATCTATGCAACGTGTTTGTGAATGACCTTGAAATCAAGCAAGGTTCAACTCCCGCGCTTTTTACAGTCAAGACAAGTCAAGCGTACCCCCCGCCACCCCACCAAGATTCTATTAACGACCTGATTATTTGAAAAATGAACCTGAATCGTCAAGTCGTTCCTGTAACTAGTGTCAAATTCAAATCGGCATTCCTGCATGTGTCATGAGCAGTGAATATTTTTCGAGACCTTCTCTGTCTCTGGTCAGATTGAAAATCTTTGAACGTTTAAAATTGCTTCGAGGACATTTATATCAAATTCTGGGAAACTTAGCCTGTGTACAGACGCTCCCCTCCCCTCAGAAAGGGAGAGGACGTCTGTATATAGGCTATCAAAGCCCTTTTTCTTGTAAGGTACTAAGACACCTCGGTACCAGATTATTTAAGTACCTAAAAACCAAAATGTAATCGAGCATTTTCCTTCTTGAAGTTAACCTTCACTAGTCTACCACAAAGAATGTAACATTTGAAGTATTTCTTGGAAGCGTAATCCAAGCTGCCACCACCCTTTGCAACACCCTTCTGAGCTTCACCCCGGGTAGCCTACGCAACAGACGGAAATTAACTTCTGGTTTAAAAGTTACTAATTCTGAATTCTGAATTCCTTTGTCCTTTCTTAGAGTACGAAAACACATAATCGCGAGTTTCGTCCTAATGTTTCCCGTTCGGTCTAAATATCGATCAATCTCCTACGTGAATCTATGATCTGAAGAATTTCGAGGGTAAGGGTGGTTGGTATTTATCAGAGTTGCAGGTTTAGGTCAGTTAATCTTCTGGTATAAATCTCCGCATGTTGATTGTACCACCATCAGAACATGATTCTAACAGACCTGATTCTTTAGGGTGCCATTTCACGCCATTAACATCTGGAGAATGGGCCTGTATCAGGTGAAAAAAAGAAATCTGGTTTATGCTTTTTTATCCAGTAATTAGTTGTTCATAAGACACACCATATATCGTATCGAGGTACCAAACATTAAAAAACGTAACAACCAAACGCTGCGTCTAGCCGTCTCAAAGCCGAGTAAACGAATGAAAGACGCACTCCTTAAGACAACTTGGTTCAGAGAAAAAAATGTATACTTGGTTCAGAGAAAAATATATATACTTGTTCAAAAAGACAAGCTGCTGGCGTAAGACAATGAAGATGTAAAATTGTTCTAAATATTCCATATCCAAGTTATCCCCCCCAGAAATTTGTAAGGAATTACCCGGTCCACTTTTTGCTGAAGCTGCACCCAAACCAAAAGTATGATCAAAATAGCTTAATATTAATCTTCAGACAAAAATGGGGGCATACAAACTTCCTGAAGGGTAAGACCTTAATTAAAAGGGTTATACAGTCAACTCTCTCTAAGACGGACACCTTTGGGGCCAGCACTAAGTGTCCGTCTTAGAGAGGTGTCCGTCTTATAGAAGGTCAAATAAAGGGAGTCAAGAAAGGCAGAGACCAACTCTAAGTGTCCGTTTTACAGAGGTGTCCGTTAAGAGAGAGTCGACTGTAGAGTAATTTAGTCAGGTTTTCATAGATGCTAGACTGGATTATGCTCAGGATACCAACGAAATTACTGCAAACCTTTCTTTGAACGGCCACTCGGTGAAATGTAGGTTGATTTTTGTCACCAATTGCAACAGAGGGATCCTAATGAATAAAAAAACAATTTATGTACTTAATAAATGTATAAATAAAAAGCAACCTATAATTAATTAGTCTCATAGAAAACTCTACATCGAACTAATTAGTTTTTCTTGCTCAAGAAGTTGGCTAGGTAGTAGTTAAAAGAATCAAAGGCTGAAACTTTTCTGTGGGTTCAGCAAAGGTATGATTCGCTAGTGTAGTGATTTAAATAAAAGCTTCCTAAATTGCGAGGTACCAAACATCAAAAATCTGTAGAACAGTTTGATTGTGAATCACCTGTTGAAAAATTCGTATGCAGTCATCTCCGGAAGATGTCGCTATGGCATCAGTGCCAAATGACCTAAGATTAGAAAAACAATTACAAAAGATGCAAAATCTTGGGCAGATCCCATAAATTTGTTGCATTGTCGTAAGCCAATGCGTTTGTAAACATGGTGAAGCTTTGAAGAAGTGAAGGATTCTCTCTTTTTCTCCACATCTACACCCTCGCACGTCTTCATAATCTGCCATTCACTCGTCACTCTTTAAATGGTAGGGACCTTACGATACCGCACAACGGTGACGCTGGTAACAATGTCATTGGAAACTGGCTTCGTATCCCTCTAAGCTTGTTCGTGATTATTTCAACTCGTCCAGTTACTCAATAGTTGGGAAAGTAAGTTGGAGCTTAAGAGAGGGAACCACGTCGGAATATTTATCGTCTTGCCGTTCACCTTCTTGAAGAACCTAAAACTTCGTCATTTTACATCGCAGTTGTCAAAGGACAACAAAGAAATTTACAGAAAAGCATGAAAAGAGTTATTTCGTACTCTAGGAGTGCGGTCCTTTGAGATAATACAGATTAGGATTCAAGATCACGTGGATCATGGTGCATCAAACAAACCTCTACATCCCATCTTGACAAGGGAGACGGATTTATGCCGCGGTTTTGTGTATCCTGTGGGGTCAAAGACATATTTTGAAGAGCTCGGAACGAGGCGAATCGACATGAAGATACGTCCAACATAAAAGCCAGAAAAAGAGATACGGTAGATGCACCTAGCCTGATTCCCAGATGTCCGACGGGACAGGGAGAGAAGCGAAGGGGCCCGCTAGGATATGAATAGAATGCAAATTCAAACCGTGGAAACAATAGTTTTTTGGTTGTAACCATGAGGTTAACAGAACAGCGGGCCACAGACTGAATAAAGAATATGAAAAGTAAGTTTGATTACAACTCACCAGCGAACATCATAAACGCTTCGGTCGTGATAGCCAGATAAGACGCAGACTGTCTTCCATTTCGGGTCACTTCCGTGGGTTGGCACACCTTTATTCAATGTAAACACAGGCAGAAAATGTCATCGTTACTAGTAAAGGTTATGGGCCATATGGCTAGGAAAGAGGGAAGTAAACTCCTAGGACTTTACATCATAGCTCTCTTGCGGAAGTGAAGGCCAAACACTCTGTTTTGGCTACGAAGTGGTTGTTGTGCACAACGCAACTTGCTGCAACTGCATTCCCTTTGTTCCGAAAGATTTTTTGCGCGGTATCACGGATAACACGACCGATGGCGGATTAAACACAAGGAATTGAACACAAGAGTTGGAGAGCACGAAGAATTCTTCTGCACAAAAGCCGGTAACGGTTGAAGCTAATTCGCACTTATGCGCTCAATGTAACCACGTCCCGTAATAGAGTTCAACAAATACCTTCCTCATTTCCAGGTTCATAACACTGCCATATTCTTAGAGTTTTGTCATCGCTACACGAAACTGGGAAAAAAAATCAGGAAAAGGAAACAAACCAAAACGGTTAAAGTGAGGACCTAACCAGCCTGTCTGGCCATTTCCTGGTCAGATTGTTACAATAAATGAGCGGTGAACAAACAGATGTTGAAATATAATATATTTGTCCTTAATATAACATTCAAGGAATTTTCACCTAAGGACGTAATTCTCTTTTATAAGTATTTTTCGACTTCCTAGTTACATATAACAATAACAAAAACGATGGTTAAGGCGTAGGACTACATATGATTTGGGTTAAGTGCGAAAAAAAAAAGAGTCTAAAAGCTTAAACGTGTACTCTTTTTGCGAGAGAACTGACCTTAACGATGTTTAACTTAAAAACAATATGAAAATTTACATGAAGGACCCCAAAGGTAGATTGAGTGACAGCTGTTGTTTGTTCAAAGATTTCTGTCAAAAGCTGTTGTTTATATCCTTTCAAAAAAAGGTGGAAACAAATGTAATCACAGCAATTCTAAGGCAGTATTCCACGTATCAAAACGTGCGGCTGTGATAACTGACAGAAACCTCAGTGGCACCAATCCATTCCGTCACCAGTTTTGTCAAAACTAATAGCCCACACTGTAGACTCGTGACCTTCTAAAGTATCAAAACAAGACCTGCAAATTAAAAGAACACACAACGTAACGTTATCAATGCTCTTTACTATACCCTTGTAGGTATCATCGTCACTATCATTAAACCTCAGACCACATGCTTAACTAACAAGAAACCGACCACAATTTTCTATTGACAACCCTCTTATGAATCACGGAAATGACGTCAAATGTTCAAAAATATATTTGCGGTGAAACCGCTGAAAATTTTGGGACAATTCATTGAATTGAAGATACAGTCAAGCCTGTATTATAAGGCCACCCTTTGTTATGTGCTCACTTACTAAAGTCTCGAAAAACAATTTCCATAATTACTATCAAACCCATGGTCCGAACAAATTATTTTTTTATTGTCTTGGCCTATACTTAACGGCCACTTTGTCTAGAGGGCATTAAGTTGGCCATGTCTTCATGGTGGCCACTATGTTTCCTATCTTGCGAGACGCAAAATGCTCGGGTGACAGTTAAAAAACGGTCAAAAAATAAGCATATCCTGTACGCGTTGTGACAATTAAATCTTTCCAATTATTCTATTATCAGTAAAGAAATAACTTACCAGTCATCGTCATCTCCTTTGTAAAGTTTTATTGTATCGTCGTAGCTGCACGATGCCAAAATCTGAAATCAAGATAAGGGCCGGTTACCCATGACATGAACTTACAAGGCGAATATGGCCCATTCTTGTGATTTAAGTTTTCATATGCAGTCTTTAGTGGAATCGGTATGGAATATTAAACAAGTCACATGCTGCTTCTTCGCCGCCACAGTCACTCCTCGCAAGTAACGTACAAATTTTAAATTTAATGTTAATTAACCTATTTATTATCGTTTTTATTCTGCTTGTAATTCATTGTGTGTGGCAAAATAATAATAAATGAATAAACAAATAAATAAATTTTAATAAGTTTTAGCGTTTTCGGCAAGATTAATCCTGTAATCCGAGCATGAGCGATGATGTGGATACTCTCACCCTCTCACCCAATAGGGAGCTTTAGCATCGACGACGGCAACGGCAGCGAAAACCTCAGTTTTAAAATGAATTCCCGTTTTTTCAATCTTTGTCGCGTTTATTCCAATTTGCTGAAAATGGCAAGTGCAGGCGAATTTCCCTGGAGTTGATTTCTTGAGGACCGCACTCAAGTTTACAGAGAGAAAAAGAGATTCGTCGTCGGTTGTTTACGTCCTCCATAAAACTTGCAATTAGGCATTTTCACATCGTAGTCGTGCAAGGACGGTAAAGAAATGTACAAAAAAGCGTGATGCAAGTGCAAAGTTGTTGTTTTGCGTAACAAACCTATTGCTTTTTTGACGTCCTGGTTGCTGTCGCCGTCGTCGTTGCTAAAGCTCCCTATGCCTCCTGTGACAACGCGGCGTCAGTTTCCGGCTTCACGGTCAACAAAACGCTTAAGCACTAGGCTGCGCTTGAATATTAAAAACAAAAAGAACGCTTTGCTGTTGAAGTTTCCTTTTAAGGATGAAAGAGAGTAGTATAGTACGCAACGGGTACTCCTCCTATAAAGCTGGAGTGTTCCTTGACAGGCTCACCAGAGAGAGGTAGGATACTTCATTTCAGGGATATGGTTCGCGTCAACTCGTTTGTCGTTGATCTGCAACCTAGTTATGAAAGTTGTATTCCTTTCCGTGCAAATAGTATTAAGGAGGACGCAGGCAAACTTTCTACTGACACTAACCACCACAGATGTTTGTTACGACTTTTCATCCTGCTTTAGCTTGATTTTGTTTCAAAGAAAACAGGCCGTGAAAATGGCACTAATTTATTCTACCCAACAATGATGAGATTCCAACTTAAAAGATGGGACTTACCGGTGCACCCTATACTACTAAGGTGGTGACTTGCAGGCACAGGTACATTATTCTAATAACACTAACCTCCACATATTTGTGAAGATTTTTCCGTCAGCTGTAGCATGATTTTGTATTTAAGAACATAGGCCGTGACATCACTGGCATTAATTTATTCCACCAAACAATAATGAGACTCCAAGTTAAAAGATCGGACTCAATCTCTACTTTTCCCCCTCGCTCCCTTCTCCACTGTTTCCTCGTTTGACCTCAGTTCAGCTTTCTCGCGGCTTTGTTTCCTACTTCACGAACCACAAACGAAAAGCACTCCAAAAAGCCACCTGTTTTGAAACTAACCGAGGTAAATAGATGTTTTGTAGGGCATGCCTTTTTACACGAAGCAGAAATTTTTCTTATGTCATATTTTACATCGATCACGAAGTTAGTGTTACACTGATCGCTGTAAATCAACAGAAGAGAGTAGATGTTTACCATCATATTCAGTCTCCTGTCATGAATCAACATCGTAATATATAGATTTAGCCAGGGCTAAAAGCGAGGCTCCCATTAGTAAATTTATAATTTAAATTAAACAATAAACTTGTATTCGAATTCCACAATTCAGTTAACTTTAGAGCACATTTATGTGACTTTTGAGGGAAAGGCTACCTGATTTTAGCGAAAAATAATTTGCAAACAGCCCAAGAGTGAACCAAATCTTACATCGAGTTGATAGCCTCATATGTACACTCAAAAACTGGTAATCATCTTTTATCACATTTAAGAGCCGTAATGGCTATTGATCACCGTAGATCAATTAGGCTTAGAAAAAAACCCAGGCCAACGTTTTGGCGTTCGACAAGTTTACTTTGCAAAATCTTGCCAACAAATCTGGGTGCGTGTAAACCAACCTTTTATACCATGACAGAAAGCAGTATTTCACAATACAAATTGCTCTCATTCAATATTCATAAACTGTTAAAAAAATTTTCCAAAATCACCTATACGGCCATCCGGTTCTCACTTTTGTAGTGCGAGCTGTAGCGAGTGTTTGAATGAACATTAACAGAGTTACGCTCCAAGATAATAAAGAATTTATCATGTTTATTTTTTATTTGATGGTTTAACGCGCGGCATTTTGAGAACTCCTGCAAGCGATGTTCACTGAACGACTGAAAACAATCGGCATAGCGATTAAAATTGCAAGAGAGACTACTAACAATCAATAAAAGAAATATAATTCGGTGAAACATAAACAGAGACAACAATTTTCATTCAGGAAGACAAGTATTAAAGTGTCCCTAAATATCCTGAATCTTCAAGCTTCAAGCTTAAGTTTGCTGAAGTTTATGTTTTAAGCCAGCTTCCCGGTGTTTGTTTTTTCAAAGACGAACTCGAGGCAAGAAAATCGCTCAAAGCTTTCTTTTCCGGCTGGAATTATAACTAAAGATTCTTTGGAACATTTTCTTTCTATTTGCGGTGAGAAACTGTCTAAAGGCTTTTTAAAGTTCTGTAAGATTATATCAAACCAGATACTCGGTGAGATCGTTGTCTCAAATCTTACAAACGCGCATAAACTAAATTCCCGCATAAACTACGCTCCACTTCATTAAATTAGATACAAAAAACAAACATGAAATACAATAATTTCTCTGGCTTACCATTCGAGATGCAGCTCCTGAAAGTTATCAGTTAAAGCCAGTATCGCTTCAGACTTTGCAATCCTCTTACGCATCAAGCAAGGTGAAAACGAAAACGATGCCATCCGAAATAGGATTTCCGACTTTGACAAGCGACGTTTTCTCAACCAAAAACCCAATAAACAAACTAGCCATGAGTAACAGAAGACTCCTGATAGCAGCTGAATTTCATTTTGTACATCCAGTGGAAAAAGACAGTAAAAAAACATCACAAGTTGACACAAAACTCTGTCAGCTTCAGCTGTTAAAGTAAACAAGATTCAAGATGCTGCATAAATTTTGCGCATGAACTCACCTGTCAAATTTTGACCAATCAGAGCATAAAAATTGGACGTAGAGCGTGACCAACGCGTGACCATTGTGAGAAAAAACAAAAGCAACTGTCTTCCCTGCCTGTAACAGCTGGCTGAATTTTCACGTCCGAGGTCAGTTTGCAATCAAAATTTTAATTGTGCAGCACATAAACACAACATATTTCATATGAATTAAGAAAAAAAATTGAACTTGAGCCTGCGATCACTTGAAAACTAGTTTACTTGTCAGCGGATAACTTCAAAAAAAACTTGACCTCGACGGGTCGACACCTGAGCCCGCGATACGGTCAAGTGATACTGGTCAGCGGGTACTCTGTTTTGACAGCTGTCAATTGATCAAAACATTGATGTCCAATATGTGTGCATTATCAGTTTTCCTGTGCTCCCAAACTAGTAAAAGTATGAGATTGAACGTTGTTCGCGATCTAGTAAAACAGTTAACTGGTCAGCGGACAGCTTCCAAATAAATCACGTCACCTCGATGAGTTGACACATGAGCCCGCGATATGGTCATGGGATACTGGTCAGTGGCTATCCTGTTTGGACAGCTGTCAATTGACCATTTAACAATTATTCTTTGAAATCGAGGTGAATAGTGGCAAAATATTTACCGAGCCGCGAAAGCGGCGAGGTAAATATTCCCAAAGCCACTATTCACCGAGATTGAGAAGAATAATTGTTTTAGTATATACACACGAAGTGATCTCAACAAAATCAGAAAGGAAACCATTCAAGAGTAGGATTTGATTGACAGATCAAATCACGCGTAAGTTTAAAAATAGATCTTTGCAGAATTTTCAAACATGGCAATTCACAAGTTTACTCATTTCGCAAACAACAGCGTAATGGCTTCAATGGAATCGCTAAAAGTTTGAACTGTTTCCTTACCTGAGAAAAAAGGTAGAGCTGTGCTTCGATTTTTGAGCCAAAATTTTCTTCTTAGAAAACGCTGAGTTCACGAAACGGCTTCTTCTACGCGAATACACGGGAGTTGTAAACAATCCATCGAGCACAAAACTCCTGCTACAGTAAATTGAAAAACGCCGTATTGAATCCTTCCAAGTCTTTTCTTGCCTTAAAAAAAGTCAGCCCTAGGATTTTGTCGACTTTTAAAAGATCGTTCTCTAAAAAAAACGGGAAAAACACCGAGCTCACACATTATCCACTCGCTAGGAGGTGAATATTGTTGAATAGTCCGAGATAGCGAACCAATCAGATTGCTTAAATCACCAAGATCACTGAGTGTGTATATACTAAATTGTTAATGTCCTATATTAAAGATGTGGACTTGCCAAGACACGCCTGAGACACCCCTCCCTTCCTTTTGATAGTCTCCCCTACCCCACCCATACAATCTGTAGACGCGTACGTACGTACGTACGTACGCTCGGTCAATCACGTGACAACCAAACGAAAAGAGGTTGACCATATTCCATGGGTATGGGGCTCTGTCCCACGCGCGCTTCGCGCGCGCGGGAGCCCCGCTATTATAAGGGTCTGAATGGGGCGTAGTGTTAAGTGATATTTGCCTATAATTTTAAGCGTTTTATTGTTGTTGTTTTTTTGGTCGTTTACTTTTCCGGGAAAAAATAATGTTAAGTGTTTGGAGGGTTTTTCGTGAAAAGCCTGTAGTCTTTTAGCATTGTCAGCTGCTCCTGGGAAATCGGTAATAAAAGCTCAAAGGGGCTAGCTGTGGCAGTCTCTGGACATCTACCGTCTTCGGCAATCTTGCGTAGTCTTCGGAAATCTTCTGAAATTATCGGGAATTGTTGGAAAATGGCCGAAAACCCCTTGATATACTAATCAAAATGATATTGGCCTTTTAGGAGCCGTTTTTATTTCTTTCTCTGCTTTCTAAAAAAATACTGTTTCAGTGAAATTTTTTTACTGTTAGTGTTAAAATGCGCAAAATTTAACTGTTTCATATATGTTACAGAGCCAAAACATTAAGTGTTTTATGGTACTCCCTTTCAGACACTCCATTATATTCTTAGTAACATTATATCAGGGGAACCCAAAGACCGAATGTTTCTCGAATACGTCAGTAGCGTCTCAAATGGTTTTTCTACGCTTTAGAAGTCAGTTTGGTTAATTTGGAGCTTCCCTAAGAATCATTTATTGGCTCGGAAGTAAACTTTGGCCGTCTCCAAAGTTTAAGGTGGCATTTTCCTCTCATCTGAAACTGTTAGCTGCCCTGATGGGTCCGATCGAAAGTTAGAGGACATGGATCAGCCATCCGACTTTCGTTTGAAAATTCTAGGGGACGTTTTGGCTTCATGCTGAAATTTTTAGGAGGAGTTGTTCAACAATAATCGCAATAGTCTTGGTAATAAAATCTGAGAAAAACTGTAGAGAACACCTCAAAATATCTTAGACGAACGGAACAGCGAGCCTTTCTCGAGCTTTAGAAATTCCTAGGCAGTTAAAAAGTCGTTGGGTGCCCCTGATCTTAAGAACAAATACAACTGAACATGAAAAGCAGAATTAACTACAAAAAGCGTCTATCATGTTCCAAAATTAAAAGTAGACAGTCAGTGCAGCTGAAAAGCGTCTTCGTTGTTCTTGATTATCCCCCTCCATTTTGTCTGATGTGAAGCAGTTCCACTATAACTTCACGGAGATCTTTCTTTCTCCAGCAGTCAACAATGGGATTAAGAAGCGAGTTTAGAAAAACACAAGACAAAACTATATCGCGCAAGATATCTTTCAATATTCCGTACGTAAGTATTGGCACGTACGAAAGAAACACGAGGGCGATAATTATACTTGTGGTTTTAAAGGCTTTCCTTTCCTCTAAGAATTTAGTCTTCCCTTCGCTTGGAAGCTGTTCTGTTTTTATCCGCTTCATATGTCGGCGTGAAACAAAATATACTGTTGTATGACAATATACGATAATTAGAATGGATGGCATGACGGTTACATAAATAAACCATTTGGCAAATAAATGTGTGGCTGGTATTGGATGAAAAATTACAGGAATAACTGAAATAATCCAACTACAAAATACAACAATCGTTAATCTAGGTGTGGTCACCAGGCTAGAATATCTAAGTGAGTATTTCATAGCTATATAACGCTCGATACTCAGTAAAGCTAACATCAGCAACGATTCAACACTTGGAAACAT